ACTTGCCTTTCTTGCATATATATTTATTTAATGTAAACTATCCAGAGAGTTAGATTCTGTTTTCTCGAGCTACCTTTCAGTGAAATGAGTATAAATTATCTGAAGCAGTTTTAAAATTATTTTCTTAGATAGCTTAGATGGCTTTCTTTCTTCTCAGTACTATTTGTATAAATTTGTAAATATGTTTTTTTTTCTGTATAGTATCTATGGAAAGGGAATGCTTTAATATGCTCTATTTTATATGATTTCACAATACCAGAGAGAATTTTGCTTACTTTTTCTTCGCATTAATCTGGAGTCTCTCTGTCTGATACAAGAATATCAAAGAAAACCTGAATTCCTATAAAAGTTATCAGTATCTTTTGGCCATTAATAAGGTGACTATAAAGATGTAATATATAGCGATACATTTCTTTTATCTTTTCTGATGACCTTTCACTATCAATAGTTATGAATGGAATTTTTTGACAATTGAATAAAGTATCGACAAGGATTGTGATTAATCTCTCATCATTTCTGCAACTATATCATCCAGAGTTAGAATGCTTAACAAGTATTTTTCACTAAAATAGTGAATTATCTGACCTTTTATTTTATCTTTTTTAGCCTTTAGGTGAAAAAAGGCAGAGGCATTGAGAAACTCTAAAAGCTCAAATTGGATCATGGTATTACATAATAAATATACAGTTTGAGAAAAAATATATACTTCAGGAGAAAAAAGTTCAAAATGAAAATTAATTCTGAAATATATAAATCAATATATAATTTAACTATTCATAGTTATCAAAAATGGCATTTTATTAATGTTCATATATTCTTAGGACTGGAGAAGTTTGTAATCGAAGGTGCTTTCACCTAAAAGGATGTCAAATACATTAAAATTTTCCCTCATACATACCTTATATTGAATGTGATAAACGAACTTATTCTGAATATAGATTTTGTGATCTATATGCTAGAAAGCACTGTAAAAAAGAACAGTACTATCAGAAAAAGCAAGCTAAGTTAGTTTTGATGTAGATACTGGTAGGTAATTTAGAGGTAAATGAAAAATAATACAACTTATTACTAGTGTCATAGAAAAAAAAAGTTTGTAACAAAACTAGTGACATAGATAATAAGCTCTTTAGGAATTTTAAGCTGAAAGAAGATTTTCTTGATGAGTGTTACTGGTTCACTACTATCACTGAAAAAAATCTGAGTATCTTAACTTTTTTTTATTTTTAGTATATATACATGCATCACATATATACCATAGATTTATCATATTATATCTCATATTATAGATTGGGTATTATAGATACCTGCCAAAATCTCCTCAAAATAATTTTTTCATACCCTTTTTATATTTTTAATATAGTTTTGACAGTTTTGGTTTTCGTCATATCGAATGGATTTCATCATATCCTTTATTATAATTTTAATATAGTTTTATCTAAGTTTCAACTGTTATTAAGGAATTTTGTCTCTCATCTATACTAGGTATAGAAAAATTTTGATTTTTTTCTTAGAAATTATTACTTTTTACTAGTGACACTAGTGATACTAATCAAGAAGAATTAAATAGTCTAATAATCTCAAGAAAGATAGTAAACCTGCCACTAGTTCTGTCATTAGTTTTAAATATTAATTGATAACACTAGTGACAGCTAAAAACAATAAAAATCTATCCTATTTTACATCTTAATATATCTAAGAAGATTCTAAAATACATTATAAATGCATTTTAATGATTTGAATCTCAGGACATGAAATTGGTATAATTACACTGGTAACAAATAAGCAATTATAAGGTTACAAAATAACGTACTTTTTTTAGGCTGACTATAATAATAAATAATGCACCTCTAACTTTGGGATGTGAAATCAGCATATATTATCATTAGGTTCATTTTTGTTTATCTTAATGTCTAAGTTGAAAGGCTGTGGCAACTGATTCTACATATTAAAGTTTCTGATCTTAGGATTTTCTCTAAGTCCTACAGGTATTCATTATACTTGAATCAATTTGGCAATTTATCACGTCTTAGAATTTAAGATATATTAGTCAAACTCATAATGATGAACTCAATAGCAAGTTAGTGTAGAGTATCATAACAATCCTAGATGAAGGATAACGTTGAAGAGAAAAGTAGTTTGTATGAATTTAAATTGATTCCTTTATTTATAATTTGAAACTCATAAGTAACTTACAAATGAGTTAATTTACAATTTAAGCAAAAAGCTATTCTATTTATACAAAATTAATTTGCTATGACTAACTATTTGCTATACTATAAATTAACTAAATATAGATATATGTTTTAATAAAAATATACTTAAATATAATAAAATAATAAAATTAGTATAAACTATAAAAATAATAAAAAGAAATAAAATAAATTACAGACTTTAAAGAAATTACAGATGAAATAGAATAATAGAATAAACAGACTGTACAGAAAATATAGAAGAACAAGCATATCAGACGAAATAGAAATTATTGCTAATCACTATTTGGCACAATAGTGACATCATCTAACATGAGATTATTGTTGATTGATAGATTTCACGTGATATTTGGAGTTGTAATTTCTTCTGTTAACAACATATACTAGCAATTAATAGGTAATAGTTAGATTATAAAATAGTGTATTTCTAGTAATCAAATAGGCTGACCATAATACCTTAACCTTCACTTCTAATGGTAAATAGGTAGTCAAAAAGTAAAATTAAACTTAGCCAGTGATATTGTGTAAGCTATCTAATGTGATTTGTTATTCTATTGTAGTAGAACTAGCTTTTAGACTATATTATTCAAAATCTTCTTTACTAATTTGAAGAAAGTACGACCATTAATTTTTTTTTGCGAGTTCCAAGAATATTCTGAGAATATTTCTGTTACTAGTCTGTAACTATGAAAGGGTGTTCAGTATCGTAATAGGATCACGTGACTGACATAGTAAGACGCAGTATAAAATTATAAATTCGATCAGATCCTTGAACATAATAACTCTGCATTCAAGCTGACAAACTACCAATTCTATAACACTTTCATAATGGTTCTTCACTAGTTTCATAATAGCTCTACAGTAGTTTTAGGATACTATCAAATCACCATTATGATGCTAAGTTAGATCCTCAAATCATATGCCTAAAAAATTAGCCAAAATTATGGTATAGTACCAGCTGAAATTAATCACAAATTTACTGCGCCATCTAACACCATATTTTTTTTTATCACATTTTGGTATTTAAAAGGCAACCAAATAGGTGTAAAGGGAAAGCATTCTAATATAAAATCCTACATTCAATCAGGTGCAGGAGGTCAGCATCTTTAACATAAAATCAGATATCTAAACAGCTATAGAGAACCAACAACTCCATTATAGAATTTAGCATGTAAACAACTTAGAAATAAGAAGAAAAGTATGGTATTTAGATTATATAGTTATAGTTAGGTTAAATAGTGGGTGGTAGTTAGATTATATGATGGTAAAAAATACAAATAGCAAGAAAGATTTAAAAGGATAGCTAGAGTATAAAAAAGATATCTGATATATGAAAATAAATAGATTATATAGTGATAATTAGATTATATTATTTAGATTATATGGTGATAATTAGATTATATTATTTAGATCATATGATGGTATTCAGATTATATGATGGTATTTAGATTATATGATAGTACCTAGATTATATGATAGTATTTAGATCATATGGTGATATCCAGATTATATAGTAGTAATATAATTTAGAGCAAGTGGGATACCATCATATAATATAATTATATTGCATAGTGGTATCTTACTGATCTTTCTGAATTTGAAACATATATTATTGATTGAAATTTATGATAATTTAAGCTGACATTATGGTAATTAATCATAATATCATCTTGAATCATTGTAATTTTAAAATGATACATAAAAAAAATGATTAATATTTATTTTTTATTAGTCAATTACTAATCACGTGATATAAAATTCCCAAAAATTTTGAAACATTATTGAATTAAGACTTCCAGTACCATATAAAAATAATAAAAAAAAATAAATTATATATATTTAAAAAATTACCAATAAAACAGAAAAATAGAATAAACTATTTTGTGAATTTATAATTTATATAATTTTTACATATATTATAAAATTTTGTAATATTTGTAAATTATTATTCTTGCATATATATGTATTTATATTAAAAATAAATATAATATTTAATAAGTTTTATAATTTAATAATAATAAATTTATTTATTTTATTATATTATATATTAATTATAATCTTTTTATATTAATAATTTACTGAATCAATAATAATAATTATAATACAATTTATCAAAATTTAATTTTAAAATTTTTTATAAGACTTATTCTAAATAATCTAATACTTAAAAGTCCAATATTTACAAAATTTTAGTTAATTTTTATTATAAATAATATTTATTATTATTTATTTTCAAATTATCTAGTATCAGTCTCATAATTTTAAATAGTTATATGATATGTATTTAAAGAATATATTTATCATATAAAATAACTAAAATTTGTATACAGTATATATATAAAATATAAAATTGAAGTTTTAAACTTAAGATCTGAATAATATGTATATTTAAAAAGAATATGTATTTATATAAAATGCATTTAGAAAGAGTTAACTATATATAATTTCTTTATTATTGATATTTAAATATTAATATCTTGAAATGTGATTTTATGAAATAAATAATATAAATTTGAAATAAATAAACTATATAAGTTTTTAAATAATAATAGAATTTGAAAAGAAATTAAGTATTATATTAAAGAAAAAAAATAAATAATTTAAAAGTATTCTTTATGTTTATTATTTTTATTTTATTAAAAACTTTCTAAAAATGTAAAAAAAGAGTTGAAATATTAATTTAAAATAATATTATGTTACATATTATTTAATAAGGATCTACATTTGGAGGTGGTTACATGAACATTTACTGTATGTGTACTTTTGAAATAGATCAACCAAACCAACATTATGACACTTACAACGACACAAATTCCGACAAAAGAAGTAGTCAATCTTCGCAGACTCTTAGCCGTTTGCGAAAAACAAGCTTCAGAAGAAGATAGTTTAATACGTGGACCGGATAAAGTGAAATATATAGCGGTATGTCAATTTTATTTTTATTTTTTATCTTTATTTTCAGTTTAATGAAAATTAAATTATTTTCTTCGCTTTTAGAATATAAAGTATCTTTATAAGTTATTAGAGAAAATCGAAAAAGGTGACATCAAGTAAGTACTTTGATTGAATGAATTTTGTCTTAATAAAGTATTTAATGAATTTTTCCTTAAAAGTGAACAGATCGATAAAACGGCCATTAGTGAATACTCGCGTAAAATTCAACAATTATCACATATAGTTGATGAAAATAAATTGGTAATAAATTGAATTGCATTTTCTTTATGTTTAAAAATTTTTTTTAGCTAATTTAAATAAAAATTTTTTATAGACATCTCCAGTGTCTCGCGCATTTTCACAGGCGCGTTTTATAAGCCATGCAAAACAAACTCAAACCGAAAAAAACAAAGAGAATCAATTAGAACTGAAAATGGTACGACGAGCTGAAAAGGAACAAAAGGAAGAATTGTTACAGGTTCGTTATTATCAAGTATTAACATCTCTCTTTTAAATATATAATTATTTATTTTATTTATTTATTTCCGCAAAAGGCGCCAACACAAGCATTTCATAGAGAACCCAAAGACACAAAGACTTATTCCGAGAAACGAAGTGGTATTTATTAAGTTAGTTTTGCCAAATTATTGAAACTTTTTGTTTCTCTTTTAACCGTGTCATAGAACTATTTTCTTCTGAGGCATCCGGCTCTGAAGTTAGGCAACGAAGGTAAAGTTTTATAAATTGATTACTATTTATTTATTCTTTCAAACTAATTGTATTTTTGTTAATGAAGAACCAATACCTTTGATCACGAGGATACAACGAATATCGAAAGTGTTCTACAACATCACCGAAAAACGCAAGAGGAACTTACGAATAATCTATTAAAAATGGCAGAAAGATTAAAATTGAATTCGGTGACGTTCGGAGATATATTATCAAAGGATGAAAAGGTTTATATAAATTAAAAAGGGGGTGTTTTTTTTGTGAGGTAAAATTCTTCTATTAACTAATTTAATATTTAAATAATAGAATATAGATGAAGCTCAAAATGTTCTTGGAAGTAATTTAGATAGATTAAAAAGAGAAGGGGGTAGATTAGGAAGGTACGCTGCACAATCCAGTAAGACTACTTGGTTAGTTTGGTCGGTCGTGTTATGCGTGTGCGTTACGTTCGGGTTGATGTTTATGTTAATTCGTATATTTCCCAAAGGATAATATAAACAATGTCTTTAAAATTATAAAAAAGAAATTTATATTTGATTTTGATTTTCCGAGATAAGGGATCACATCACATTAGTTTTTTCAAAATTTTTTGGTCTGCGTATTTTCCTTCTCTATACTGTTCAAGTGCCATTTTCCAAACCCTTGTTGTCCTTGCTTTGTATAGATATTTTTCTTCATAGAAATTCCCAATTCCCAAAACTTTTTTTACTTCTTTGCGAGCTTCTTCATTATACACGTAATTTTTGTCTCCAATGATTTCAATATATCCTATTGGATTATCATTTTCGTGAGGATAAGAATGCGTTTTGACATTTTGATTTTGATCAATTCTAAACACTTTGCGATGAAATTTCGGACTCTTCAGTATTTAGGATAAGAAAGATATATCAATCAATACGATAAATCATTGAAATAATTAATATATAATAAAAATAATTTATCTTACATTTGGCTTAACTGATTTTTTTAATATACTTTGAGGCTGAAAATCTTCAGGTATATTTGCTAAATTTTTTCTTTTTCTGTTCCATCTCTTTTGAAGCTAAATACGAAAAAAAATAAAAAAATTTTTTTTTATTTATGTTAATAATTTGATAGTTAATAGTGGCTGAATATAGTTAAATATCAAATCTTAACTTGTTTCTCTTTTAATCTACCGTACCACACATAAATTGAACGTCGCTTCAGATACAAATTAAACTTTTCTTCTGCCAATTTCTCCCTATTATTTTGCATGCTCTTTCGACTTTTCCAATGATTTAAATATTTAACAAGAATTTGCTTTTGATTTGGTGTAAGTATCGGAAAAGCGCCGGGGAATGTGTTATGAGGATCTAGCCTTTGAAAATTGGCTGGTGTAATGGCTCTCGGTTTAACAGTTGGCTAAATGAGGAATTTTCATAATTAAATTAAAAATTTGTAATATTAGTAAACGAGTTAAAGGAAAGGATGATTGGCAACTATTTACTTCAAGATTCCTTTTAAGTAATCCTCCTAATTTCTTTACTTTATCTATTACAATAGAGGTGTAGATGGGATCGTAGCGGTTATTTGGACTTTTATTTACTGAATCTACAATCGGTGGCATCTTACTTTGTATTTTTTTAAAAAACAAAAAGATAATATTATTTTTTTCTCTAAACGATCGTAAGGTCGAATTAATGAAATAATAAATAGCAAATTGTTTTTACAATGATTCCAAGTTTAGCAAACATTTCACGTGAACGTGAGAAGGTAACACAAAATCACAAAAATCGTCCACTTGGAACGATTTAATAGGTCAAAGAGTTTATTAATTATTATAACAAAAAAAAAATTTCGAAAATATACTTTTTTACTCACTGTTTTAAAATATGAAAATATGATAAAAATTTTTGTAGTTTTTATATTTATACTTGTTTCTTTATCATGCCTTTTGCCTTTCACAAATGCTAAACCCACTTTAGAAACAAAAGTGCACAAACTTAACGAGGAAACGCGCAAGAACCAAGGCGTGGTTGAACTCGATTCTAATTTGTACGATGAATTTGTTTCCGCACCGAGGAATTATTCTATAGCTATTTTATTAACAGCGCTAGAGCCACAAATAAACTGTGTGCCATGCAAGTGAGTTTTAATACACTGTACTTGTTCGTAGTGTTGTTGACTCCTTAAAAGTTGTAAAGTAGATAGATAATTTCCTAACTCATTTGATAGAGAATTCGATCCGGAATTTCGATTAGTTGCAAATAGCTGGTTATGGTCTGGAAACGATCCTTCGCGTTTATACTTTGGAATTTTGGACTTTAAGAATGGTAGGGAAATTTATGCCAGGGTAAATATCATTAAATAATTTTCAATCAAAATTTCTCGCGAAATAATAATAATTATTCAAATTAACTTGTTTGTAGCTAAACTTGAATAATGCTCCAACATTATTTTATTTTCCGCCAACGATTGGCCCATTTGCTCAAAAAGTATTTGAACAGGATCGATATGATTTCAATAGACGGTAAGCATGGTTTTGTTGATTTCGCGACAAAAGTTTGATAAATTGTAATTTTAATCGTTGTTTTTTTTTTTTTTGGATAGTGGGTTTACCGCTGAATCCTTGGCGTCATTTTTAGCACATCATTTGGGTACAGAAATTCCAATTAGCCGTCCTTTGAATTATTTTTCCATTTTCCTTTCCATATTCTTTCTACTGGCGGGTCTGGCTGTGTTGAAGTTGATGTATCCTACGATACAGAGCATAATTTTAAAAAAGAACATATGGACCGCATTATCATTGGTACTTATTTTATTTATCTTCGTTCCTTAATAACCCTTAATGTTATTCTCACAAATTTGGAATAGGTTATCATTCTTATGATGATTTCTGGACACATGTGGAATCATATTCGAGGTGCGCCTTACATATCTATACATAGCGGTAAAGTCAATTATGTCGCGCATGGTTATTCAAATCAACTAGGCATAGAAAGTCAAATCGTGGCTTTAATATGTAAGATATTAAGATTTACATTACATGAATTTCGTGATTTTTATAAATTTTCTAAATTTATTCATTTATGATCGATTTAGATGGAGTCAGTGCGTTATCTGTCGTATCACTTATCATTTCAGTACCGAAAATTGAGGACAAAACGAAACAACGTTTTGGAGTTTATGTAATTATTTTTGTTTTCATTTAAACGTTAAATAATTATATTGATAAAAGATTTTATTTTTTTTTTTTTTTAGATTTGGATGGGAATTTTAGTTATAATGTCTAGTATATTGTTTGCGCTTTTCCGACTAAAGAATCCAGGATATCCCTTTAGATTGTTCATTTGATATAAAATTTATAAAAAGGAATTTAATTTCGTTAATAAAAAATAATCGATTTTAATTAATAAATTTGTAGCCTTTAAAACTTGCCCGCATAATTTCTACTTTTTTTGACGTTGCAATTTGATGCGTAGTAAATGAGTGAAACATTTTAAAGTATTTTTACCGTGTGATATATAACAAGTATCATCGTGATATAATTGGATTGGTTTAATTATTTATAGATTCTCCATAATAAGGAATGAGGAATTGACTGGTTCTCTGATTGGCCGATATTAATAATTCTATTTTTAGCAAGAATTAACGCGACTTTAATAAGTCTAGAAATATTTTTTTATTTCACATGCCGATTTTTACGTTACGTTAATCTGTCATGATTAATCTTTTGCGATACGAGGAAACAAAAAGATGGTCTTTTTCTTCTTTATAAGTAAGTATAGATAAGTTTATTGTTTTAAATGTCGCGTTTTTTTTCGTTGCGTTTTGCCGAATCAGAATTAGAAAGTGATTTATTAAAAGTCTAATATGCTATTCATAACGGATATTACTAAACGTGTATTTTTTTTTAATATTTTGAAATAAGGTTCATATGCGCCAAAACTTACAAGGATGGCATCTTCGGCCGTAAGGTGTCCAAATTGTTTGGATCCTACTCCAACGATTAACCAATATAAAGTGCAAAATCAATTGTCACTGTTCTTTATCCCTATTTGGCGAACCAAAGCAAAATATTTATGGATTTGTGATCGTTGCAAATGGACAGGGCTTTCTAGACCCGAAGAACAAGTTAGAGAAGAAACTGTGCTTGGACAACAGAATCCTCCACTGCCAACTTTGGTAAGGTTTCTGTTGTGACATGATATCGTATGTCAATGCATATAATAATCTGAATTATTATCAAATTAGGGATTGACTCGTTGTACTAATTGTAACATGGAGGTAAGATATTATTTGCAAAATCTTTTTTGATAACGGATTTTAATGGAATTGTATTTTTTTTAGATTAATAATATCTCTGGACAAATGAGATTTTGCCCATACTGCGGATCAAAATATCTCTGATTAACTTGAATGTTTTAAGCTATATTTACTATCTCTAAATGAATGACTATCAAATATCGAAAATAGCGCATTGACGCGTAATTTATTTATTTATATCTAGTATAGTTATTCATTTACTTAATCATGTTTTTTTTTTCATCGAATATATGCTACTATGCTTCAAAATATAATAAATATTAATAAACTATATATATATGTATATATGTATTATATGTATTAAAACATAATTTATATATGTATGAATTTCTTTAAATCACTTCTTATTTGAAATAACAAATAACCAGTGGGAAATTAAAAATTTATAAATTCCAATGAGATTTTGATCTAGATTAAGGCGTAAGCTAATTAAAAGGGGTTAATTTCTATCATTGTTCAAATCGGTAGAATATAGAGAACATGTGGTAGTGTCTTTGGTGGAGGTGGAGGATGATGCTGTCACAACAAAAACGGCCGATCGTATTTAATCAGGTGATAACAACACAATGTGATAATAGGTGTGATGGCTAATGTTGCCATATTACAGACTTCGGTCGCTGTATACTTTTTTTTTTTTTATTTTATTCTTTTCTTTATTGACAAAATTTTATAAAATTAAATACAGAGACTCAAAATAATAATAATAAAAAAAAAAATTATATACAACTGATCATACCGATTATAAAAATGAGTGCCACTACATCTATTTCAAAATCGCAACCTCCTCAACAAAAGCCAGGCTTTCGAAAAATAATGACCTGGAATCCTAAAAGAAGTAGCAAAAAAACCCCTAATTCATCTTATAATAATGCGTCCGGTATGTTTATATTTGAAGGTTTTTTTATTATTTTTTGTTTTCCCGGTTACAGTGTTGCGAAGAAAGTTCACGTGTACCCTTAGATGTTTGCTTTCTGCGTTGTGTTCTAGGTTTTTTTTTTTTTTTTATATATATATAGTGATGGGCTATTGAACTACACTTAACCCTCAACTTAATAACTGATAATTTTTCGTTAAAATTCATTATACATATACCTCATACACTTATATATACCTTTTCCATGATAGAAGGAGACGACAAATCATCGCCTGCTCCGGCAAGCCCTACTCCTAGTTTGAGGAGTCTTAAATCGGGAAGACCATCTCTGTTTGCAACCTTTGCACGCAGAAATTCTACTAAAAGCGAGCACTCCTCAAGGAGCCGTTCACCTACGAGTCCTAGACCCTCACATGACTTAAATTTTGCTTCGGATGGGATTCGTACCCCAAGCCCGACACCATCACGAAATTCTATGATATTTGAACGGGACATTGAATTTCATGATCATCTTAGCGTTCACGAGGCCATCGACCTCGCTATTCCTCCTGTTTTAGATGATGCGGCCGAAGCATTTGTGAATGAAGAAATACCTACTATTCTAACAGAGACTAATGGTGAACACCAGAAAGATAATGGAGATGGAAAAGACGGTGAATCTGGAACCGGGAAACAAGAATCAATTGGTGAGGATCCTCGGGTTATTCCATTAATAGAAAATGAAGGTCGAAAGCGACTTTCGTTAATAAATTATGCAGAAATCGTTGATCACCAACATACAATTGCTGAAACCTTAAGAGTAACAACACCAAGAGAAATGAATGAGTTAACTGGAATATTTGATAAATAGCCATTTCTTTGCTTTCATTTTATGAAAAAGGGAATTTGGGTCCGTCGTGAAATATGAAATGGATCAGGTGAGCTACAAATTTTTATATTTATTTGATTTGGGGGATTTTTTTTTCGTTGGTTTGCTTTTGGTTCATGGAAATATTTTCTTTATTTGCATTCATATAATTTGCCGTTAAGTACGTCGGCAGTACGGTGATTTTTTTATTTTTTTTTTTATTTTTTTTTTTTTTAAAAAAAAGGGGGACCAACAATATTATCAAATCGAAATTTAACAACAGATTTCACTAAATCAAACAAAAATTTTTTTTTTTTCTTTTTCTTATTACCAATAATCTTTTTTGCTTTAATACTTTTTTTTTGAATTTTGAATCCTTTTGTAGAAAATAATTAATGATATATATACAAATCCGAGGATCGCAAGGATATTGGGGAAAAGGGCAGTTCTGGTGCACAATTATAAATTTGTATTATTCATTATCACACTATATATATATATTTTTTTTTCTCTACTATATATTATACATATATACATACATATTACATATTATATATACAAATGTGCCTAAACTTCCTTATTACTGACGAGTGGATCAAAGGTGTAGATTTTGAATTTCTTTTATTGAGTGCAAGTTCCTCTTTCTTCCTCTATTTTGATATAATATTTTCTCTTTCATTCAATAAGAAAAGCAAACAAAAAAGTTAAGGTGTTTTTTTCAATACAAAAAGCTTGTTTTTTAAATGACCAATTTTTGCGAAATTTTTTTTTTTCTATCCATTTTTCATCTAAAGTACATACTTTCTTCACATCGAATGTTTTAGTAAGGCTGATTTTCAAATGAAACCTCATTTTCATTGTATTTTATTTTATATTTTTTTTTTATAGGTTTATTCCTTTACATATATACATCATTTCTCATAAATATTAAATTTTTTTTTTTTATATAAATATATAAGTTTATTTCATTTTTTTTACATTATTTTTTTTTTTTTTTTTTTCAATGGAAGAGGGTGGGTGGCGGATTATTTATTATTTTTATTTAGGTTTTTTTTTTCTTTCTTTTTTATTGTTATTATTATCAATTTTTTTTTTTTTTTTTTAAAAAAAAAAAAAAATTTGTAGTTTTTGTTTTTTTTTTTGGAGAATAGTTCTAAAAAAGAAAAGAAAAAAAAAATTTTTTTTAATTAAAGATCGACTGATTTTTTATTTCTTAGAAGGAAAGGATTTTTTTTTTCGGAGTTTTTGGAAAACGTGAAATAATTTAATGGTACTCCAAACAAAAAAATAATAATAATTATTATTATTATATATTTTTTATTAATATTTTCTTTTTTTTTTTTGTTTATTTTATCTTTCGTTTCGTCATAATAATAAGATTGATTTCGATTTGATTTATCTAATTTGTGATTGGTTAAATATAAATTTTGTCTTTTAATATTTGTTTGCTGTCTGTACTAATTTAGTTGTTTGTTATTTTTTTAATAAATGAGCACTTTCTATATTTGAAATAATCAAATATGTAATGCATATGCACACGGGTAATATGACACACGATTTGATTTGATTTTTTTTGAAAAATATTTATTTATTTATTTATTTACTTTGATGATTAACAAAAAAAAAGGGGGGAGAGGATCAAATAGAAAAATTTCCTGCTTACCACTTTAAGAAAGATCCCAAACAATTCTAATTTTTAACGTCCCATGTTTCTTTTTTAAAAAACAACCACCCATTTTCTTCATCTCTTTGAGAATGTCACTTTCATTTCCTTATCGTGGGTAATCTTGAATCCATCAAGTACATCCTTTGCTACAGCCGCTTGATGATCGGCTTCATATTCCACAAAAGCAATATCCGATTTACCAGGAACGAGACGTACTTCCTTAAAACCGGGATATCTTATTTGTTTTTTTTTTTTTAAAAAAAAAAAAAAAGGGGTTTTCCCGTTAATTTTATTCAAATAATAAGAAAGGTTTAAAAAGAAAAGGATTTAACTAAATCAATATAGCGTACGTACTGTTGAAACAAAAAGCTCAACATCTCATCCGTAACGTCCGGTGGTAAATTCTGTATATACAATATCCTATTGATAAGTTCCATCTCTCCTTTTACGGTGACTTCTGCCGCATTCTCATCTTCCTCTTCTTCTTCTTCTAATTAATACGATTTATGATTGTGAGAACCAACAATAACAACAAAATCATCTTTCAAACCCCATTAACATTATTTACCAATCTCTGGTGACTCCGATTCCCTCTCTACTTTCCCTCCGTTTGCCGCTCTTTTAGTATCTGAAATGTCTTGAAAGGAGAACATTGCCATTTTTAAAATCATGGTGATCGTATTACAATCGTTATCATATAATGGGTTCATCTTACCTTCTTCCTCCCGCTGTCTTTTCTGTGCAGGTGATGAAATAGGATGACCATAAGCTTGTGCGCGTGAAGCGGTGACATTGGTCGTCGTCGTTGCAATACCGGGTCTTTTCCACGTACCATCTAATTTTGCGATGGCTTCCGATTTACCTTTTGCGTATTCAATATGCTATATAAAAGATTCATTTATTTATCCATTTTTTTTTTTTTTTAGCAAAAAAAAAAAAAAAAATAATAATAATAATGGAGAGAATCCGGCATTACGATCCATACATACAAAAAGAAGAAAAAAAAACCCAACAGGTCAGCTGCATTCGTTTTGTTTAAGAAATAGTCATATACTCCTCCATAATTAATTAATTAATTTTTTTTTTTTTTTTTGGAATCGCCCTTTATAATAATTAGGAGGAGGATTTAAATAAAAGAATTATCATATCAGCCTTGATGGCACAATAAAAGAATTTTTTTCTTAAAATCTTGTAAATAAAAAAAAAAAGCTTCATATCGAAAAAAAAAAGGAACGAGAACTAGAACTCGAGAGAGAGATAGAAAGCAATTCAAAAAAAAAAAGAAAAGAAAAGAATAGAAAAGCAAAAATACTCACCATTGGTTTATCGTAAAAGTTGAAACCGTTAAGTCCCCTCATGGCCGAAGTAGCGCTTTGAATTTCCTTAAAAACGATAAAAGCTTGACCACGCATTTTTTTTGTTTTCAAAGCGACAATATCAATGATACGTCCATACGCTGAAAACAGGGAGTATAAAGACCTTTTCAATTCTAAATCAGATCATAAGATATGGATTAATATATATATATATATATATTCCATGAGGCATGATAATGATTACAATGTAATTTACCATCTTTATTGGTCTTTTCGTTTAGATTTCGAACATATAAAGTGTAATTTGGTGGAATACTAGTCATATTTTTTTTTTTTTTTTTGAGAAAGCAAAAAAAAAAAATCTCGTATAATTATTTATTTGTTTATTTATGATCTACAATGACATGATGACAAAATAAATGAACATATTTGAAATTACTACTTTAACATCATATCAATTTGGTTTAACAAAAAAAAATGTCGACTAATTATGAAGCCTTTCATCAAGGTCTCTCTTTTATTCTCTTTTTTTTTTTGTTAATTGTGTTGTAAAATTATCATCTAATATTTGCACGCATATTCAAATATTTTACTTTAAAGCGTTGAAGTCAGCCAAACATATTGCCACGTTATGTGGAGCAGGGCTTTCTGCAGAAAGCGGAATTCCGGTTTGCCTACCTTCTATAATGAGTTTTATAAAAATGGTGTTTTTACACTTTTATTAACCTTATAAACTGTTATTGTCAATATTATTATAGACGTTTCGAGGAGAAGGTGGCTGGTGGAGAAATTACAAAGCAACCGAGCTTGCAACTTTAAGTGTGAGCTACAAAAGTTTTTTATTACAAAAAAAAAAAATTAATCGAATTTCTTGTTTAGGTATTTAAACGCAATCCGTCGCGAATTTGGGAATTTTATAATTATCGTCGAGGATTAGTATTACAAAAAACAGCGAATAAGGCACATAAGGCTTTGGTGGATTTTGAAAACAAAATACTTTCTCAAAAACCACAAACTCAAACATTTACCGTTATAACACAAAATGTTGATGGCATATCATCAAACCTGAAGAATTACATTGAAATGCACGGAAATCTATTTAGAACTCGTTGTATGCAATGTGGTGATATTGAAGAAAATCGCGATTTCCCAATCTGTGAGGGATTAAAAGGAACCGAAAATTCCAAGTTCGACATCGATCTTCCCATCGAAAAACTTCCTGCTTGTACAAAATGTAAAGGATTGTTAAGACCCGATGTGGTCTGGTTTAATGAGCTATTGGATCCAAAGATTACGAGCAAGATTCAAGTCGAGCTAGACAGGTGTGATTTACTGTTGGTTATCGGAACTAGTGGTTTCGTGTACCCTGCAGCTGGATATTCCGAGTATGTTAGATCGCGTGGTGGAAAAGTTGCGATTTTTAACATTGAAAATACCGGAAACGCCGACTTCAAATTGTTTGTACAATTCCTCCTTTTTTTTGTTGTTTCTGTTTTCGTAAATCTTAATTAGTAAAATATTTCATTTTTTTTTTTTTTTGTTTGTATAATAATAGCATTGGTCCTTGCGGGGAAACCTTGCCACAAGCTCTACAAGTTTGATGCCCCGACCCGTACGATTATTTAAAATATCAATGATTTTTCTTTAATATTTGTTACATGTATTATACCTTGTCTCCACACAATCCAAATAAAATAAAAAAAAAAAGGTGGTGTTGAAAACTAAATAATAAAAAAGCTAAAGTAATGATGTGGGTGGGTTATTTATTTCATCATAAAGTGTTGCCCCTTATTCTTCTCGCCAGCCTTCTATATCCATCTTCTGCAAGTTTTCTCCTCCTCCATAGTAATATTGAACATGACGTAACCGCGACAATGAAATTGATAAACTATAAAAGAAAAAAAAAAATTAATAACGATCGGACCGATTACCTTTTACAATAAAGATCTATCTAGCATTTACCTGGAATTCAAAGTATTTTGTTCTCTCAAATCTTTTAACTCTTTTACAAGCCCGAAACTCCGGTAGAGGACCTCGATTTGGATAAGAGACATTTCCGGATGATTGATCATCAGGTACATAACGACATTCTACAGGTTCTTTATTACCATATTCATCACAGTACTTTTCGGTTTTCTATGAATATGCACACGTATGATTAATTTACGATTTTAATTGTCATCTTTTTTTATACAAATGTAATGAATATGTATATGTATGTGTGAGGGGAGATTACCGATTCGAGTACTTCACAAGGCTCACATTCGCCAGTCGGATGACAGATATACTCGACAAGTCCAGTATTGTTATTGGGTACAATTGTTGAAGAAGGCAAAGTGTTGGAAGGTAAATTATTTACAGAATCATCATTTGTAGTTTGGGGTGATTGTTGTTGCTTTTGTGATTGTGGTTGCGCCTGTGGTTGACCTTCTATACTGCTGCTACTAACCTTCTCAACATTTGTTTTGCTTTCTTTTGTAAATTCTGTTGTGTCTGCATGTACCACTACAATAAATAAGCTAATAAAAAAAAGGTATAATGTATAAATGTAGAATAAGAATTAATAATTATAACCAAAAATTTTTATTAATTAATTTTAATCATTGAGGAACAAAAAAATTCCGGAATGTTTACCATAAAAGACAAAGACCAAATGTTATGCATGAGAAAAATTGATTCATGATGAATTAATTAATCAAATAAATAGTAAAACTCTGATCTTTCGTTGTTTAACAAGTACAAAGAAATGTAATGAGGGTGAAGAGATTATTAGTGGTTTTCGTAAAATGATGTGTATGGAAAAGAGAGAAGGGTAAACAAAAAAAAAAAAAATGTTTTTTCTAAAAACAGAAGGAAGGTTTGACAGCAATAAAAAAAAAAAAAAAAGAAAAAAAAAAAAAAAAATTTTGCGGAGGGAAAAAGACTTCGGAAAAATCGAATCCAAAATCAAATCGACGTATTTATAAAACCAAAGATTGTCGTGACACGTGAGCAAAAGTGACGTAAAATCACGTTATGATTTACCAATTGGGGATTCCTCTTTAACGACTTATTCGCCACCTTTGCAAAATAATTTCAAACGAAATGCATCCACGCCATTAAGATAATATCTATACAATCGTTTATCTCTAATGAATCCTAATTTATGATATAGGGAGAGCGCCCCGAGGTTGGTATATTCCGTTTCAAGCACAATCTAATAAATAAGTAATAAATAAATCATCGTTTACAGTTTTTACAATTGAACATTTGAAATCGCTGTCGTCGTTACCTCATCGGCGTCTTGTTTTATCATAGCATTAATAGACATTCTCACCAACGTAGATCCTGCGAGATGCTAATATTAATATTTTATCAAAAAAAGAAGAAAAAAGGTACGAGAGAAAAAAAATTACAAACCGATCTTCCTCTTTCGATACTCCTTTTTTACAGCCAACATGGCAATATAACCACGTAAAGCCTCTCGATGTTGATCCAACTTACAGATTATCACACCAATGCACTCATCCTGATCCATTGCCTTTTTTTTTTTAAAAAAATTAATTAATTAAAAAACTTTGATCAGATTTTCTCAAAAAGAAACGATAAGCAGCAGAGAGAACGATCATTACCATAAAACATAAATTAGGCCAGTTGTTTATAAAATAACGATACGTGTATATGGAGTAAGGTTCAGATAAATCATTTTCGATCAAGCTCATGATTCCAGGTAGCTGCAATTCGGAAGAGTATGGAACGTAAGTTAGATCAGCACCAACGCTCGTGGGTTTTGAAGCGGCAGAGGGTGTGGAAGAGGTGGAAGCAGATGATTGTTGTCCGACATTATCCATTTTCCAAAAAAATGTAAGATAAAAGACGATGAGGGAAAAGGAAGAAAAAAATCGAAATTTATTTAAAAAAGGATTTGATGTTGTGTAAAGGTGTGACAAAAAAATCGACACCATGACGTTAATGGAATTAAAGACAAAAAAAGGTGGGCGATCCGACAACCAAATCTTGTTCATTTATTCCGATGATTACAAGAATCGTCCTTTCCCTCTATGGAAAAAGAGAAGAAAAAGGAAATTTGCCCCTTATTCAGAACATTTATAAAGAAGACACTTTTGATTTTTTTTTAAAAAAAAAAAAATTAAAATCCCAAATTGCAAAAAAATGGGTAAACAATGACGAACGCGTATATCATCACGCCCGTTTGATTTTTTTTTATGTAATGGATTTTGTGATGGATTTTGTGGTCACTCGTGACACAAACAAGGTTATGTAAAAAAATTTCTTTGTACCATAAAAGATACAATTTATGATCGTAAACATGGTTAATACTGTTGAACAAGACTATACAGAGTAGTTTAAAGTCTAAATTAAATGCATGAGAAAACCAGAAAAAATTGCATGGTGTTTATATAAGGTTTATAGTGTGGCAAAACATCATAAACAACACAACATATTTCGTATCACGAACCTTACTTTTTTTATTTCGCTTCATTTCTAAAGTTGTAAAAAAAAGAGGTTTTTTGGAAAAGGATGCGCAGCAACATTTTTACCACTCGCTAAGCCAAGTAGTATTTTACAAGTGTAAACAACCAAGCCGAGGAGAAAGGTGATTATTAATGTTTACAAAAGGACGATGCTTGTTGTTGCTTAGCGACAAAAAGAAAAATAAACGGATTACTAAAATAAGCTGAATGATTATAATATATATATTATTTTTTACTTAATAAAATAAATCACATTCCCCAATTGGGAAAGCAGAATGAGATCTTCACCAACTATTAATATGTGATCATCATTTTGTTTAGAACAATATATAAGTGCAGGCGGATTTTTGACATCTGAATGACCAAAAATGCAAATGTTGGATGGACGGCAAAAGGCTAGCGAGAAAATAAACATCCGTCTTTACGAGCAAGGTGACAAAAAAATAAAATAAAAAAAATAGATAAAAATAACGAGAGAAAAATCCACACGACTATCAAAGCAGACCGTTGTTCAACCTAACTTTCCACGGTTAAAAAAACGCTCGTGAGGGTTGAGGGTGAGGAAAATAAATGAATAATCCGTAAACAAACAGGTGGGAACGGACATTGAGAGTATTTATTATTTTGAGAAAAGAATCGGGAGATTAAATGAAAGACGAAAAAAAAACACGTTTTTTTTTTTTTTTTTTCTGCGAAAAACATCGCAACATCGTAAACATGCAAAAGGAAAATCACAAATATGACCCATTATATATTAAAAAAGGTTGTGATTATTATTAAAACCAAGTGAGGCTTCATTGATTGATTGATTGATTCATCGGATTTGCAATACAGTAGTCCTTAAATATGGATTTATCTCTCCGAACATTTCTTGGTACCCACTTTATTTGGTTAATCGCTTCATCCTTTATCAATATTCTTTTAGGCCTATGAGTCGATGATTGTTAATTGTTTGTATACACAATATATTCAAGTTGTAATTGTATTTTATTTTATTTATAAGATAAATTTGTACAACATAATTGTAATCATTGGAATTCCTTTTATGTTTGAAAATTTTCTCATCATTCTCCGCTTTTTTTTTCTGTGTCACCCGTTCTTCTGTTGATTTCATATCTCATTACTTTGTTCGAAACCATTTTTTTTTTTTATGGAGGAGACCCGATGATTGGATTATGCGTGAAAACATGCCTCGAAAAGCAGAGGAAAAAAAAAAAAAAAAAAGAGCTTTAATCATTTTTATCCAATAGATACTTGATGCAACATAGGTGCATATTGTGCTAGCTCTCAAAACAGTTGTTTTTCACATAGGTTTTGCTTCTAATAGAATCAAAAGTGAGCCACTTACCCTCTAAATCAAGTACTAATCAAGATTATTATTGTATTTAATTTATATATAATTTATACATATACAACTCTATGTATGTTCTCTTACATTTTTTTTTTTTTTTTTTTTTTTTTTTACTATTTTATACTATTTACTTATGTTTTCTGTTTATTTGTAACACAATAAATATGTAGCCTTTGCCGTACATAAATAATTTACTCTTTCCTTGCAGTTATTTCCATAATTGTTTAATATAAATAATCATTTTAAAATTTTTCAAACTCGAATTTAATTTTGACACTAATCCTTTTATATCGTATATAAAAAAGTATAAAAAATTTATAAAATTTTATTGATACGCCCCTACCCAAATTAAGCATTTATCATGTAACACCTGAGTTTTCCCTCCTTCATCTATAAATACGCTCACTCACTCTCCTTCTTCCACTTTTTTTTTCTCAAACTTATTTGATTTGTTTGACTTTTGAGTTTGCATTTATTTTATTTAAATTAAGTCTAAAAAAATTTTCACTATAAATACTTTCAAATTCCCCTAAAAAAAAAAATAAACTTTACAAAAAAAAAAAAAAAAAAAAATTTTTTTTTTTTTTTTTTTTTTATATATTTCCACTTTTTCCCTATTATAATAAAAACGTATATAATCAAAGAAAGGAAACCCTCGAAATTTACACACTACTTTTTTATTTAAAAAGAGAAACCAAAAAAAAAAATAATAATAAACCAGTAAAAAAACCCGAGGAAGAAACAAAAACGTCCATTTACACATAATCATTATTTAAAAAAAAAAAAAAAAAAAAAAAAAATTTTTTTTTTCTATGACTCAGGAACGAATTAACAGCAATAATAATACTTATGCGTTCGTGTTAGAGGATCCCTCAAAGCCAAGAAAATATCAACTAAACTTTCATCTCGATCATCATCAGTATAAAGAACCTACGCATATACAACCCACAATGGAACAACAAACTTTAGCGCCTCATCTTCCTCATAACCCTCAACATCATTCGCTTCATCATATCGATCGCAATCCGCTTCCTTCACGACAACCTCCGCAGATTACGTTACCTCCTATAAGAGAATTGCTTCATCATTCACCTCCTCCTATACCTCAACAACAACCTCCTCCTCCATTACCATTACCTCCATCACAACAGCAACAACCACCATCACGAATGATTCCGTTACAGCAACAGCAACAACCGCAATATTTACAGAATATTCATTCTCAACTTAAATCAGATGTTCAAAGACCTCTTTTGCCACCGCTTGAAACCACTCAAAATTATCAATCGATATTTAATTCTACGTCCAACGAAGATTCTCATTACCATGTATCACAACATTCACAACAGCATTCATCTCATTCATTACCACAACATACTCATCAGCATCATCCTTCGATTTCAGAGATCAATTCATTTCCATCTTATCCAACTCAACGATATTTTGTAAATCATAAAATGAATCAGATAACGCCTACTCAGCCTCATCAAATTAATCATCAAATTAATCAGCTTGCTCCCCAACACGGTCACTATCAATCGACCCTGCCGCAGCATCAGCCGCAACAATCGTCATCTCAGCAACAGCAACAACATCAACATCAACATCAACAGCAGCAGCAACAACAACAACATCATCATCATCAGCAGCAGCAACAGCAACAGCAACCGCAACATCAACCGCAACAGCAACAGATACAGGCAGCTTCTTCGCAACGAATGCCACATCATCATCCACAGTCACACCAATCACATCCCACACATCCTCACCATCACCATCAAATTCATTCGTCTCATTCGTTGCAGATGTCACATCACCTTCCTCAACAACTGCCGCAGCAACAAGTGCCACAAGGATATTCACAACCACCTCAACATTCTCATATGTATAATAATAATAACGATGTTGTGCCCGAAAGAAGTCAGCATGATCATCAACCTTCTGTTACCGTTTCACATGCCCCTTCTTATAATTCTCATCGTCAATATCATCCTCAGGTCTACTCTGGTAAATCCGCTCCTCTGGTAATGTCATCCGCTTCATCTCATGTGACTCCCTCTCATGATCCATTATCTGTTCGTAATACCCCGTTAATCGATCATCCAGTTCGTCGTGATGTGACATCTTCGGGTCCGAACGTTATGGATGGTAGAAATTTATTAAGGACTGATCATCATCATCAGCAACAACAACAGCAACAACAACAACAGCAGCAGCATAACTTAAGTCAACTTCACGGTCATATGCAACAACAATATCCCCCACCTCCTTCCCAACTTCATGTACAGCATCCTCAACCCCAACAACAAATGTACAGTCAACAACAACCTCTTTTACAGATTCCACCACAAAACGTTTCCCATCCTCTTACTCCACCGCAGTTGCATTTGCCACCGCAACAGCCACAACCTAATCACCATTCTCATAACTCTCATAATTCTCTCAATACTCAGCAGTATTTGTCCGAAAACCGTGAAACTTCACCTTTTCACTTGGCACCCCCTTCACATCATCATTCAGGAAGTAATTCATCGGTTTCCACTAGGTCCTCTTCTCCGGCACCTAGCACCCCTATAGCTCCCACCACTAATCTGTCATTCCCTTCGAATGGTGGCGCTCCTGTTAATAATAATCCCGTTCCCCACAATGTGGATAAACCTGTTGTTGAACAGAACCTTACAGTTAAAAAGAAAGGTCGTTCCAAACAACCAAGACCTATCGTACCTGCTGGACCTATACCAAATCAACAACCTGTCCCCTCCACACAACCTTTACCACCAAATTCTTCAAGTGAAACCCCTGTGTTTGTGCAATATGTGGTTCCAAACATAGTTAATGATTCCAATCCACAGAATAATCATCTTGCTGCGCCATCAAAACCACCGCAGACTTCTAGATCTAGGAAAAATAGTATCTCTGGTCCTTCCACTTCAAAACGTGGTAGGAAAGCTAAAGATTCTTCAAAAGTGCCCGATGAGGTTCATATTTATTCACCTGCTCCTTTACCCGAGAATAATGTGAAGTATGTTGCACCACAATTAAATCAAGGTCGTAAGAGAGAATATGCTTCGTTACCACCTTCAACGGACAATCTAGATGATTACGATGATAATAATAATAATAATAAAAGATGTAAAAATAATGAACGTATTATTCCTGCAGATGATGATGACGTCGTCATGGAATATGCTCCTCTTCATGATGAAAAAGATGATAAAGTGGAATCAAAATCAAATAGTATGGACATTGATGATGATGTGATCTCTAAAAGAGAAGAAGAAGACGCTACTTTGCTATTATCATTGAAAAACCCTACCAACCCATCAAATCCGGATAATAGTCATAGTATCGAACCAGAAGTTAACAATGCAGTTACACCTGCTGTTGAACCGGTTGCTATTAGTGATAATGATATCAAAATTAAAGAGGAACCTATGGTTGAAGAGGATATTACTCCTGTTGTTAACACCGTTGTGAATGATAGTGGTGTTGAGGTTGAGAATAAAAAGGAGGAACAAGATGACCAATCGGTTACAACAAGAGTTAAAGAAATGTCTTTGCATGAGGATGATTCATATAGTTTGTCTTCAATCAAAGAAGAGGTGGAAGAGGAAAAAGAAAAACCTTCTTACGTACAAGAAAAGAAGGCTGCATCTAAATCGAAAAAGAAACAAAATGTAGTGGTGAAGTTAGAAAAGAATATCCCAAATAGTCGTGTTGTCCCTAAAAAAGTGCATGATAAGAATGAAAATGTTAAGATTCTACCTATTGGAAATGATTCAGATAGTGATTTAGCTATGGATGATGGTTCCGAAGTTGAGGATGAGAAAAACAAACCACCTGAACGTAATTATATGTGGAATAGTGATGATATGGAAACTGAGGAAGAAGTTGAAGAAGAAATCGAAATTTCCGCTTCTTCCAACATAGGTGGTATAAATAACGTCACCAAAAATGGTGATAAGCAAACCACCGGTGGTTATTCACCTCCCCCATCTACATTGCCGCCGAATGTTTCTAAACATCAAAAGGATATAGAGGATGTTAAAAAAGAAATAAACTCGACAGTTAATAATACGAACGCCCCTATCAACAAGTCGCGACCGAACTCACCGACCAATAATGGCATCTTATCGCATAAAGCTTCAACCTCGAGCTTTGCTTCACGTAAAGGGTCAACTTCTTCAAACGGGAGCAATAAAGAAAAGGACAATATGATCTGCAGTTCGCCTATTGAGATGACCGCTTCCCCATCATCGATTAAAACTATCGCAGCAGATTCTACGAGTTCAACCACCAATGGTACTAGACCACAAAGACCTTGTCCTCCTAGACGTAGATCAACAATGAGAGACGACGAAAAGCTCGAATTAGATAATATCGAGTGGGAAAAGAATATTGAGATCCCACATAATATCTGGGAGGAAACTTTAAGAGTGTTTGAAATTGTCAAACAATCCAAAGAAATGAAAAATCGACAACCTCATCGTAAACGCAATCATATCCTTGCTTCAATTCTCTTTATTTTATGCCGTCAAAATGGTCTTCCACGCACTTTTGTTGAGATTTGTAATGCTGCTTCAATTAGAAAGCAAGAGATTGGAACGTATTATCGTCTAATGCTTAAAGTATTTGAAAGTAATGGGCTAGGTGGTGGAACCAATGGAACTTCATTGAGAACCGTTGATTCTGCTGAATATTTGGTATGCTATCTTTTTTTTTTTTTTATTAATTAAAAAAAAATAAACTCTACACATTTATTATCGTTTATTCTAGGATTAACAAACAATTTCTTTACCAATTTAATAGAAACGATGGTGTCAAAATCTTAAACTTCCTACACATATACTTGATGCGGCTATTCATGTTTACAAACAAGCTAGTGAATTAAATATAACCACCGGAAAATGTCCGGTGTCTGTTGGTGCTGCTTCAATATGGTTATCTATAAGCACTTGGAATGAAGCTAGAACGAAAGCTTACAGTAATATTACAGACGATGCAGAATTAATAAAAGTAGAACATAAAGATGTTGCAGCCGCTGCTGGTGTCGTCAATGCTACTCTTGTTGGTTGCTACAAAAATTTATTAAAGTACAAGGAACAGTTATTACCTGAAAAATTTTTAATGGAAGCCGGATCGAGGTCACCACATTATTCTACCCCCAAAAATGAAATCTTGGAGAAGCATACTAATTTAGAAAGTGATGCTAATACATTTGATAATGTCAAGTATTATAGTTCTCCCACGGCGGATAGTTTTGATATTGGTAAATCAACAGGTTCGTTTTTCATGCATAAAAAATATGTATGATCATTCGTTTGATATTGTAATTGATAGATACGTTTATTAACACATTAATTTAATTTTTACAGCAGACGTGAAAGTTGATCATACTTCAAAACCTGTGACTCCTGCTTTATCAAAGTTACGAATAAAACCGCAAATCAAGAGTGAAAAAAATGAAACGAATAATCAAACCTTAAAATCGCAAATTAAAGAAGTAACATCTATGAAAGTAGATACAGTTCCGGCTATTAATAAAAAGGAGGTGGAACATGAACGTATAATACCACAATCTCCACCTAGAATGGCGAATTCAATACCTAAATTTGAACCCGGTCAAAATGATGCAGATGATGAGTTGGAAGAAGGAGAATTAAGAGAAGATGATGATGATATGATGGATTAAATATATATATGTTTCTTCTCTTTTTTTTTAAAAAAAAAAATTAAAAACTTAACTTAAATTCGTCGATACCTTTTCATCCCCCCCTTTTTTTTTAATTTTGTAATCATATATTGAGAAAATTACTATTGTATATAGTCCTCGTTTTTAGGAAAATAGTATTTCTCATTTTCAAAAGTATATATTTTTTATTTTTCATCCATTCATTTGCTCATCATCCATCACTTTTTTTGTTAAATATTTGAAATATATATGACATTTAGAATAATATGTTTATGTCAAGAGGTTTAAAATTAGCATTTTTTCTGTAGATAATTTTGTTTGTTAAAATGTTTATAATTTTTTTAAAAGAATCAATTTGATTTTTCTTGTTTTAATAAAAAAATTCCTTAATTTTTTTTATTTTTATTTTTAAATTATACCATATTTGTAAATAAAATTAAGAATTACTACACATTTTTAAAAAAATAATCAAATTACCATTTTAAGTAAATTATTATACCCTTTTTGTTATCAGACAAGGGTCTACTAAATAATAATAATTCATAAACAAACAAACAACAAAAATTTTATTACTAAAAATAAAAAAAATAAAAGCGCATAGGATATAAATATAAATATATATTTCAAGGTATTTACAAGGTAAAGAAACCCTACTAAACAAAACCTAAACAAAACTACAAAAAAGTACAATTTCATTGAATAATACATAAACAAAAGGAAAAATATAGACGTTTCTCATATTACATCCTGTTTTATCTGATCAAAAAAAAAAAAAAAGAAGAATAATAATAATAATATAATAATAATAATAAAAAAAAAAAAAGGCAAAATGAACCGAAACAGATTAAAAATCAAAAAAATCTTTTATTAATCAAAAAAAATTTTCCATATAATAAAAATCACATACCAAATCATTTTAACCAGGAAAAATTTTTTAACTATATAAATCTTGTCTAAAACCAGCAGGGTTGCTCTCGGTTTTACCATCATCCAAATCGTAGGCATTAGCATCTCCAATAACTTTGTTCTCTTTATAAGCTTTTATAGCCTTTTCGGCATAACCGGAAACATCATCATCTTCGGCTAACCAAACAGACCTTTTCGCGTTGGCTTTTATAACGATATCATCATCACTAATTCCTTCAAAATTTTCGGAAGAACTAGAAATTAAGGAAGACAAGTCCTTTGAAGCTTTTGATAATAATTGTTGGATTTTAGCCAACTTTTTGACATCAGCCAAGGTTAAATCAATTTCCAAGTCTAAATCAGAATTTTGTTCAAGGTTTGCGTCTTTGATACGATTACCCCCTAATCCATATTTTGCTCTAATGTCATCAATCGTAACCTTCAATGCGTAATAATCTTTATCTGCTTCATATGCTGTTGGTATTGCATTTAATGATATTTTACTAGAAGACAAAGCACGATTAATAATTATTGGACGAATGATATCTTGTCGAAAAGAACGGGAAAGTAAAAGTCCGCCACGATTAAAAGTAGCGTTTAAAGTTGATGATAGTCTTGAAAATGTCATATTGATATGTCCTATTACACAGAGTGAAGAGAAAAAAGTGATATTTTTTTTTAAAAAAAAGTAAGAAAACCTGGAACGAATAAAAGAAAAATTGGGAACAAAAAAAATTCCTTGTGGGAAATGTAAGACCGTGTAGAAATAATTAACAATAATTGGATAACGTTGACGTATCATTTACCACATTTACCACATTTATCATATACTAAATAATACCAGTTCATAAACGTTATGTAAACGCACATGGCCTGCGTTACGATAAATTTTATTCGATAATTATCACGTGTTTTAACAATCCAATGAATTGAATTTAATTTTTTTAATTTTTATTGGCTGATCAATTGGATTTTTAACTACTGATTTCTTTTTCACGTGGTGAGGACTCAGTGATGGAATCTTGGGTGCCACAAGAAATGATTTTTAACTCCGATCAGATTATATAAAAAACAATATAGTTATCAACTTAATACCACAAGGAGAGTCAAGTTCAGTAAAACAGCAATGCGCGCCAAAGCGCGTCAGGTATTTGTTATAAATATTCTGCCTTTTCGCACTTTTTTCCCACAATTCTTTGCTTCTCATAATTATTCTTTTCTCATGATTCTTTGTTAATATGGACGATAAGCGATATCTAAAATATTTTGAAAAAAAAATCCTCGAAGTATTGGTCTCTAAGAGATTTCGATTGTTGGGCTTTGAACCACGTCGAAAATTGCCAGCAAGGCGTGACGCATCGGATCTTTTGCAGATACCTTAACAAAATTTTGCAAGACGAAAAATCATCAAGACCCACAGCACAAAAGCTTATTGGTACAAAGAAAGTAATATTATTAAAGTGCAAGTTTCTTAGTTTTTTTTTAATTGAGGTCTACTGATTCTGGAGAAGGAATCAGTTATGTGCCTTCCCAAATAAACTTACACTTTGACATCTTGGACTGGCTTATCTTGGGCGAAGGAAATCTTTTCCTGGCCACCGCGGCTTGCCTTGGATGAAGAGGGACATTCGGATGGAGAAAAAAATAAGTTCTGCAGGCGGGCGAGTTGGTTCATAATCTATCTGTTTCTTCGCGATTTTTCTTTAAATCTTCTTAGTGGTCTTTTCGCATTTTCTCTTGAGAATCTTCCATCCCTTGTTTTATTTGCTCTTTGTTTTTTTTTTTCTCATGATATCCATAATGACATAACGATTTATGTGTCGCAAAATAAAGTTCATGCATTCAAATATTTAAATTTTATTGTTTAAGCCTGGAAATCTTGACTTTTCAAGCATAAAAAATTCCATATAATTACGATAACTAAATTTGGTTGGCCAAAATTAATATAAAATTCACTAGCATTAAAAATTACATGAAATCAAGTTTTCCTTAAGTTAAAAAAAACGACGCGCAATTTTATTAGACATCCATCCATCCTGAATCATTTATAATACTATCGAGATGTGAAAGCTTACACTCATCACCCTTAAAATTAACATCTCCCACGCGTACAAGTCTCACTTTACGAAGGGTTACACAATTTTTAATTATAATATCAATGTGGTATTTAAAAAATTTCAAAACGTCTACTAAATCCAAAATTTCTAAATTTTGAAATCCAATTTTATTTTTTATCATTAAATTTTCATCTTGACATTCTCCTTCTTTAATCCATTCATCGAAATTTGCAACTTCCACTCCATGTAATACAATTTCTCTCAACTTAGGACAAAATGTTGGTGTTAGTTTTTGAAGTGGTTCTAATTCTGTCCCTCTCCATCTTCTCAATTCGAAAACCTCCAAACATTGTAATGATGACAATAATCCATCTACACCTTCAGCACTAATAGCATAAGCATTTACTAACCTCAGAGAAATTAAAAATGGATGATTAACGGCCAAGGACCATAAAGATGAATTACTTATGGTGATATAATGCTCAAGTTGCATGGATCTTTCTCGACTTCTTGGATATATATCAAGTTTAGGAGAAAGATCAAGATGTTGAAGTGGTGTCCTATTTTGTTCCACTCCATTCTTGATTTTGTTTTCTTCTAAAATCTTTGTTGGATCTTCAATCGGTCCATCACAATAGATCCATGATAACCCTTTGATAACTATATTATCTGCTTCTCCAATCATCGCTTGGTTCATCCTAAAATCTTTTAATTTCCTCAACTTTTTTAACGTATCTGCAATTGTTTTTGCTGCAATATTTCTTTTGTCAAGTACGCTAAGATGTAATTGTTCTAAATTTGTCAATCGCGAAATCATCATTAAAGTCATGGGAGACAATTCAAGTTCTAAAAGTTTCAATGATTCTAATTGAATTACACTTTGTAAAATGTCTTGTAGAGATGCCTTATCTAAATTGGTTCCACTTAAATCCAATCGAATCAGTTGAGAACAATTAGAAATCATCGTAGCAGTTTCACGATGTAGAATTTGGTTGCCAAGTGAAAGTTGTTTTAGAGTTTTAAAAGATCCTGTAAGAATCGTTTGAATGGATTTATTTGAACATTGCCATATATAAGAGGGTTTCGTAATTTCCCATCTTTGATATAATCCTAGACGATCATTTTTCAAGAAAGTTGGACTTTTCTTATAATATAATTCTTTTATCCAATAATCATGTTTCATCTCGTTTCGCCAATTATCATAACGAGGTTCAACATTTAAATGAATCTCTTGAAAATTCGAATGCAACTCTACTAATTTTTCAAGTGCATAAGAAGTTATTAATCGACATCCACTAAGATCAAGTTTGTGACCTTCCATATTCGATTTCCATCTTGTCTTTACGATAATAAATAGATTTTGATTCGAAAGACGTTCTCCGAATGGTGATAAGTCAAGGTACTTCCAAAATTCCAGATTATTATAAATTATTAACCGAAATCTCTTACAAACTTGACATAATTGACATTTATCAACAATTGATAAGAATTTAAATATGGAAATAACAACTTCAGTTGGAAGGATATCTAATCTTGGAATACTGTTATCTTTTTCCATTTTTTTTTTTTTTAAAAAAAAAAAAAAGAAAAAAAAAAATTCGGTTTTCTCGGTTTATAAAAGAGCAGATCCAAGGTAAATCCGGGGATTCTTTTCTTTTTTTTATCTTGTATAACGTTTAAATCACGTGTTATTGCTTACCTATCATTTACTGTTTTACAAATGATCTTAGTCATTTCAACTTGGAATGAAAATAATGTGTCAATCGAGGTAATTTGTCATCATTGCTATAAATATTTTTTAATATATAATTTGACAGGATTTTATTCCATACGATGATCATCAGCCAATAGTTTTTGTTTATTTTTATGCAGGAAAGAAATTTCTCACGATCGTGAGAATTTTTCACATAAATTCAGCATGGGTAAATCGTAACGCAGCTGATATTCTCTCAATACCGATACAACCTTCGCAACTAGCAAGAAGAAGCT